GGCACTTACCAATCGACTGTACCACGATAAAAACTTGACAGGAAAGAGCAAAAGTGATAAAAGATCGTCACCTTTGTTACAATTGCGGTTCCTCAGATAACCGCTTACCCGAGTGCAAAGGAGGCCCGCGCCGAAATTGTAACAAGCACGGACACTATACTTCCATTTGTAAATACCAACACCTACCAAATAAACCTAAACCGCTAAAGGAGGAAAAAGGTCCAAGAGAAGAACCAAAATCGTACAACCTAGCAAAAGGGAGAAGAACGATCCCGCCCACGGTCAACACAGTGACTTCCAATGAGACACAAGGCAGACATTCCATCGCTCTTCATACTATAAAGCAATATGAATCCAGAGTGCAAATTTGGGCGGCACAGGTAACAGTAATCAACCCAGACAAGACCAAAAAGGAGCTAGTAGAAGTGCTACTAGACACAGCAGCCGATGATCATTTATTAATAATGATTTGGCCGAAACCTTGCAATTAAAAGATGCGTACTCAACCAAGTTAGCAATTCACAAATTTGGAGATTCCAAAGCAGATACAAAGAAATACGGAATCACCTCCATAATAGTGCGAGATACTCACGGAGCATAACGTTAAATAGTGGTGACTTGAACTGACACGATCACATAGCCATTAAAGCGCTGCAGCCTAAGTGTGGAAGATCGAGAATTTCTCCATCGAAATAACATTCCTCCTTCAATAGATTCGACTCGCAGCATTATTCATCCTAAAATCCCACTCGGTAGTCGAGATGTGACAAAAGTATTAGATAAAGGAATACCCCTGAATAATACATTGCCGTCGGGATTGACACTAATCCCATTGAGGCTCGGCTACCTTATAACAGAAGGCACATACAAGCAAAAAATGAACCGGATATTGATATAGTTCCCGCAGCCAGTACCAGACAAACCTTCTATGAGATAACCGAATCGGAAGAAAATCCTTGGGCATTCGAGTCACCCGCTGATAACGAATTTATGGGATCCAACAAACAAGAGCTACAGCAGCAGAATACGGCTATCTAGAAACAACTTTAAGAAACGATAGAGAAAAGAGGATGGATACTATGTACACCTTCCGTGGAAGAACGCTGTAACAACGTTACCAGACAAAAAAGCCATGGCAGTAAAACTATTACAAGCAATAATCATAAAATTTAAACACGATTCCAAGATGCTGCAAGAGTACCATGAAACAATTGCAAGTCAATTACATCAAAACATCATCGAAGAAGTTGATGAATCTAAACCATCGGACGGTTGAGTCACAGACTGCCTACGACATCACGCCGTGCTCACGCCGCACAAAGAAACAACGAAAATAAGAATTGTTTACGACGGGTCGGCTCACACAAAAGAGGCCCCATCATTAAACGGAGTACTTCACCAAGGACCCAATTTCCTGTCTCAAATATGCGACAGTCTGCTTCGGTTCCGCTTTGGTAACATCGCATTTCCTAGCAATGTCGAAAAAGCCATTCCGCAAATATGACTGCACGAACAAGATACAGATGCCACACGATTCCTTTGGATGCGCGACATCTCAAAACCCTTCGAACAACAGGATATGGTTACCTATAGATTTACACACGTTACTTTTGGACTCAACTGCTCACCATTTCTTTTAGCAGGATCAATCAAGTATCATTTAAACAACTGTTTACATTACCCAAAGTTGGTCGAAGATCTCGCCAACAACACAAATGTGGACAACGTTATCCTCACGGCTACATCAGTACACGAGGCAATAAGGACGTATAGAAAATCGAAACAAATATTCCGCTATTTGAGCATGAATCTCAGCGAATTTGTTACTAACAATCAAGAACTCATGGAACAAATTCCTCAAGAGGAATTGTCAAGAAACACTACCCAAAAAATTTTAGAAATAAAGTGGAATTCTCAAAAAGACAAACTCTTTGTCTCATTTCAATATCCTGAAATACCGAAGCTAACAAAACGAGCCATATCCGAAGGAATAGGCTCTATTTACGATTCCATGGGATAGATCAACCCACTTACACTGAAAGGAAAATTGTTCCTCCGACACCTATGGAACTACGAATACACATGGGTATCATTACTTTCAAACGAACACCAACAACAATGGAACAAAATAGTAGAAGATACCAATGGATTTGAAGTCAATATCCCACGAGAAATCATCCAAGTCGGTGTCCCAACTGAACTAGTTCTTTTCGCAGACGCAAGTAAGCAGTGTATGGCCACTTGTGCATACATAGTCTTCTCACACAATGAATTACAGCTACTTATGGGAAAGTCCAAGTTTCCTTCACGCAAGGATAACCCTACTATACCAAAACTCGAATTAAACGCCTTAACAAAGGCCACGCGGTTAGCTCAATCTATTCACGAAGCTCTAAAAAACCACACCATCATCACAGATATAATAATTTTCTCAGATTCCGAGATAGCTCTTAACTGGATAAGACCCCAAAAACTCACAAATTCCCACTGAACAACACTAACAAAAACAGAGTAAAGGAAACACGACAAATAGTAGAGGATCTACCCACACCAATTCAATTTGGCTACATAGATACTAACTACAATCCGGGAGACTATGCAACTAGAGGACTCAACAAATACGAACTAGAAAACTACATATGGTGGAAAAACCTAAACTCATTAGTCAAACAATAAACTATCACAACGCCCGTCTGTTCACGCTAACGCCCAATAACAGCGAACCCGAGAATCACACCACCATACTCACTGTCGGAACATTCGAAGGAGAGCTACCGAACTGAGCACAGTATAACCAACATTTATCGGCGCAGCAAACAATAGCCTATATACTTAGGTACATAAGCAAAATAACATCAAAGTTACGACCCGAGTTAAAGGAACGAATTCGTCAGACCGTTCCAGAACTCAATGCAACATCATTAGAGCCTTACGTTACAGCACCAGAGTATAAAACCGCACTTAAAGTATTAGTCCGCAATCATCAACATGTTCACGTTACATCCCTCTCAGAAAGAACTATTACGAAATTGAATGTTTTTAAAAACAACAATGGAATCATCCGTTGCAGAGGACGACTAGGACATGTGAATATGCCGATCGATACACGCCAGTCTATGCTTATTATAAATAATACTAAAATGGCGGAAATTATCGTACACGACGAACACTTGCCATTCCACTGCAGTACAAACCGAACAATGGCCAGAGTTACACAAAGATTTTGGATTGACAAATTAAAGAGCCTGGCAAGAAAAATCATAAGACGCTGCGTACCCTGTCAAAAAATGAATAGCCTACCGTACAAATATCCAACAATGGAGGATCTGCCTGGTAGGCAAGTGGTACGACCACCCCCATCCAAACATGTGGGAATAGATTATTTCGGCCTACTATCAGTTAAGCGCGACGAAAACGTAAGAGAAATCTACGGGATAATCATCACATGCGCAACCACTTGACTGCTTCGCCTCGAACTGGTTCACAACATGTCAACAAATGCACTACTATTAGCGCTCCGATGGTTCTTTGCGAGAAGAGGGCTACCGTCCACTATCACTTCGGACAACGCACCAAACTTCGCTCTAGAGGAACAAATACTACGAGCTGCCATCCTCCCAATTATAGAAGACTCTACGTTTGCAAAGACCGTGGCAACAAAAGGAATTACGTCGAAGACAATAACGCCGTATGCCCCGTGATGGGAGGCATTTTACGAACGTCTCATAAAATACGTGAGGCACTCCCTTTACAAGGTCCTGCAAAAAAAAGTTCAAACGGAGTTGGAGCTAGAAACACTTATAGTAGAAGTCGAAGAAAGTCTCAATAACAGACCACTCACATATATCGAGGAGGAGCCCGATGATCTCGTAACACTGCGACCTATCAACTTTATTCAACGTGACATGATAATCACATACCCGTTTGAATCCATTAGAGAACATCACAATGATAAAGACTACATCCCACTAGAAAAAGAGATAAACTTCGCACAATGCAAAAAGCCAAACTGGCTCTACTATCTAGTCACGAGTTAATAGAACAGTACTGGGCTATCTGGAGCCAACAGTTTCTCAAGAGTTTTCGAGAATCACACAAAATCAACATCAATAACAAAAAAGGCACACCACGCATTCCAACCGTGGATACAATGGTTTTAATTCATGAGTCAGTTCAACCTCGGAATACATGGAAAACGGGCCGCATAATCAAGTTGCAACAATCAGAAAGTGGAGTAATCAGAGAAGCGAGGTGAGATTACCCAACTAAAGAATCATTCAAAAACCTGTTAACCTTTTAATCCCACTAGAAATAGGAAAAACAGAAGAACAGTAAGCGTCAGATACAGGAGGAAATATAAAGGATCCTCCAAATGAAGACTCAAAGAAACCAGAACAAAACTTAGCACACCGCTACAACCTCCGACCAAGAACACGCGCTAGCACAACGGCACTTACTCTCAAAATGGCACACGACTCATCATTTAGAGAAAACCAAAAATCGAGAGAAGGTCCTTAAGAATACAGCTCCAAAAAAAAAACGAAGTAATACCGATTGATCAAATAGACAAGAAAGCTACAACACGTAGCAACCTAACCAAGCGCCCACCTCGCTCTTACCATTATGCTTCGAACAAGCATAGGGTGCCATGCATTCATAGCGTATGACTGCATAATGAGTGGAGTTAACATCACCGAGATAGATCGCACTTCCATCTTCCATGTAACCCACATCTCGAAACAACAACACAAAGCCAAGCAGTTATCCAGCTGATTCAGATTGCAGAAAAACTCGACGTTTTAGTAACACTGTGCAAAGTTCGAATCAGACGCCGCATCCACTATTGCGGGATGAACAGCCATACAAGCGAAGTAATGGGAGGAATAGCCGATTATATACATGAATTACGGCGAGCGGCATGCAAAGAATTGTGGAACGTCGGCGTAATAAGGCTAGCAAACAGCATAACATTATCCAACATTAAGAAATATACAGTAAGCATGAGCTCAGTAACACTTGCAGGTCGCATAGGACTAGATGGAGCCTGCAAGGGAACCACGTATAGTGATCAGCTCGGATCAAGGCAAAAAGTAATAGTTCAAGCAACAATCGAAATCAGTGTCAAGCAAATGAAAGCTTCCGCTAACACAGAATACGACCAAATACATATGCCTGGAGGATTAGTATGCAAATGGTCTGCCGAAACAAGCATTGACTTCGAGGCAAGGGAAGTATATTGGAGGAAAGCACCGATCAATGGATGCTCACCCGAGCGTCATGCTGTAATTTACGAAGGTCTGGCGGTAATCCTGAACACAACACATGAAGATCCTATAAAACCACCAAGCATAACATACACAGTCGAACAAGACGATAAAGTGTTCGCCCTACGTCGAACCGCTCCTTATCAAGGATGTGCTATACCAGCATGGACAACAGAACAACCGAGATTACCAAGACAACAGGACAAGCCCACCACCAAGATCGAGGATTTTTTTTATCAAAAATCAAAGGTTTCTCCGCTAATATTCGATTTAATGTTGTACGTAAACGCAAAATTCGTATATTTAGACCGCAACTGGGCACGAAATTTCAACGCTCTAAATAGCAAAATCGAATCACAAATATGCGAAGTGGAGCGACACAGACGCGAAACAGCAATCGCGTCACTAAATCCAGATGAATTTGTGTATTTATATATGGAAGGCCCAGAACACATTGCCAACGTAATGGGCGAGGTCATCTACACATCCTAGTGCTTCATGGTCGAGGTCACAATACGTAGAGTGGACCGTTGCTACCTAGAATTGCCCGTAATAGCAAACAACCAATCAAAATTTATGCTCCCAAGAACCCACGTCCTCACGGGACAAGAAACAGAGATAAGTTGTAATCCTGTAGTGATGCCAAAGTACCACATATTCGAGTCGTGGATAGCAACCGGAAAAGAAATTCATACAGTGAAACCTCCTGACACGCTACGTTTAACTCGAGAAAACACTTTTACATACGCAGCACCAAGGACGATTGCTGTAGGAGGAATATATTCACAAGCAGAGGTAGAGGCAATGGCAAATCAATTAATGTTTCCGGTAGAACGGCAGGCAGTGGAAAACACAATAATCAAAGTAGCCATGGGCCAACATCCCCAAATGGACAATGTCAAAGTAGATCAACTAATAACCGACGAGCATATAGAATCGCTAAAATCACGGATCATGTCAACTGTTTGGGAAGGATTCATCAAGCTAGGAACAATATCAGCAGAAATCCTAGGAATAATCACGATCCTCAAATTCCTAACTTGGATCTTGGAAATAGCATTTAACTCCAAAATAAAATACGACCTCTATGGAGCAGGATTCAAAAATGCTTGCGGCATTATCCAACAGCGGGACGGCCTACATGATGCATAAAAAAAACAGCAACAAAACTGAACAACCACAGTTACATGACCTGCTACCACACAACAACTATCCGATCACAGAAGAACCAACTCTGCGCCACAAAGTAATCAACGCTACAGCAGCTTACCCACCAGTCCCAACACCATAACCACTACAAAAGTTCTTCACTTCAATACCACTAACCACGTCCATCGACAACTTGGTCTTCATCGCTCACACTTTGTCCCCGTCGCATGCATTTTCTTTACTTCATAATGAGCTTTCCTTTCCTTCTTTTATAGAATACTCTATGTACACTTTTCCCAATTATTGCATGTTGTAGAACTCTATTGTTAAGCTCAAATATGCGCATTCTGCCATAATCCTAACCACGGCGAAAAATATAGTAACTATTTCTTAAACAGTTCTTATTCTCTATAATATCACGTGTTTCCTATACTAACTATTTGCTTATAATATCTTAAATCTATCCATTTATAATGTATAAGTCCTTAGACCATTTCCACATGTACTTCCGGTAGAAGCCTTTGTACAAGCTATTCCATCTCTTTCACATAACCTTTTGATAAGCCCTTGCGTTGTTTTATATAACATTTCTATACGAGCTATTTCCTCGCTATCTGATCAAGTTTTATGTTGACCAAGCCCCTGGCATACCGTCTTATCTGATGTACTTCTCCGCATGTACCGTGTCATGCCTTGAATCAGCACTATCCCTAACTCCCTCTGTAAATCCCACCCATTGCAGATAAAATAGGAGCTCCAGCAGTTTTAGAGACGAGTGTCTGCCTTCCAAGTTACCAGTGCTCCAACTCTAGGGTCCGCCTACCTTCCTTCAAGTGTACTTGTTCCCATTTCAATCTAGCTCGT